GTAGAAAAGCCCATGAGGTTCTTAAAAGCCAGAAATGGAGCTGTGGCTCAAGTGGTAGCCTTGAGCAAAAAAATAAAAGCTCAGGGACAGCATCTAGGTCCGAAGTTCAAGCCCCAGGATTGGCAATGAGAGAGAGAGAGAGAGAGAGAGAGAGTGCTCTTGATTGAGGCACATGGTGGGAGGAGAGGCAGAACTCTGGGCTGTGGCAGTGATCCCCACAGTGACCCTGAACGAAGAACTTAAACTCTTATCTCTTCATCTGTACTTCCAGGAACTGGCTTAGGTAACTTGTTTTCAAACTTTCCTATTCACAGACATAGGTATCCAGGTTAGATAGCATTGGAGATCCAAGAAGAGAGCGAGGCACCAGTGACTCACACCTATAATCCTAGGTACTCAGGAGGCTGAGATCTGAGGATTACAATTTGAAGCCAACCCAGGCAGGCAAATCTGTGAAACTCTTGTCTCCAGTCAAAAAGCCAGAAGTGGCCAGGTGCCAGTGGCTCATGCCTGTAATCCTAGCTACTCAGAAAGCTGAGATCTGAGGATCGTGGTTCCAAGCCAGCTCGGGCAGAAAAATCCATAAGACTCTTATCTCCCAGGCCAGGAGTTCAAGCCCCATGACTGAAAAAAAAAAAAAAAGGCTAAAAGTGGAGCTGTGGCTCAAGTGGTTTAGAGTTCTAGCCTTGAGTCAAAAAGCCACGTGATTGTGTGAAGTCCTGAGTTCAAACCCCAGTACCAACACACACTGATGATGATGATGATGATGATGATGATGATGATGATGATGATGATGATGAAGGGGTCACACCTAGACAGCATAGCCTTCCGTCATGTCCCCCCAACACAGATGGATGATGACGATGGCCCTAGTCTACAGCATGTCTTCAAAGCATCGGACTGTTCCATGTGTTCAGCAAATCTTTGTTTCATATTTCTGCCTTGTGTTCAGAAGGGGCAACGTGTGCTCACTCAGACCCAGCGCCTCAGCTGGGTGAAACATCCCTTCCCCTGCACACCCTTACCCTACTCCTGTGGGGTGGGGCAGGCCGAACGAGGCTGTGAAGGGGCTGGGGGGCGGGGAGGTTGAGTGAGTGAATGAGCATCTGTGCTCTGCTAGGGCTGAATTGTGTCTGCACTCAGCATGGAAAGCCCCAGCCCAACTGGGGGAAGAGTGAGTAGCTCTTCCCGCTGCGGGCCCCCAACGGAGGGGCCCAAGCCCATACAGTGCCTGCATGCTCTCCTCACTCATCCCTGCTTCCACTGACCACAGGAATCATGTTGAAATACCATGCCATGAATGACATTCAAAACCCCCACCCTCCTGTACACATACACACACACACGCACACACACACACACACACACACACACACAGAGTACACACACCTGCCTTCTCTAGGCAAAGCATGAAAGCCTATCCCTAGACACCTGCATGAGCTCTTCCCCATTACGCGGCCCATCATGGCACATGTCAGTCCGCATTAGCAGGCAGGCCCGTCACATTAAGCTGCAGCCCAGGCCTGGCAGTTCCCTGTCGCCACAGCCACAGCCATGCTCTGCAGACATCATGCAGCAATGAGGAGTTTGGGAGGCAGGAAGCTGCCCACATTCCATTTCTTTAGAGCTCTAGGCAGGGTAGGGTTGGGAGGAGCAGGTTACTCAAAAACTCCAGGTAGGCTGTCCCTTTTTGGCAAACTATGAAAGCATAGTACAGGCTGGACACCGTAGTTCACACCTGTAATCCTATCTCGTCAAGAGATGGGGATCTGAAGGATTGAAATTTGAGACAGGAAGTTGAGGGATTGCTACAGTGGCAGAGCATCAACCTTGAGTGAAAAAGCTAAGCAACAGCCCCAGTACTGGCATGCACATGCATGTGCGCACACACACACACACACACACACAAAGAATTTAAGGGAAATCACTGAAATTCAAGGCAGGCCCAGGCAAAAATATTAGTGAGAGTCCCATCTCAATGAATGAGTTTGTAGTGCACATCTGTATTCATAGCCGTACAGAAAGCGAAGAAAGTAGGAGGATCATAGATCAGGCCAGCCCTGGGGGAGGGGGGAAAACATACAAGAGTTTATCTGAAAAATAACATAAAGCAAAAAGGTCTAGGAGTGTGACTTGATTGGAAGAACACCTGCCCAGCAAATATGAGGCCTCAAGTTCAAACTCCAGTATTGCCAAAGAGGAAGAAAAGAACAACCACTTAAAAGGGTGACCCATGCTTCTAAAAGTACACAGAGCAGATGCCCTGTCCTGTAAAAGCCTGTGGCCTACACAGAAGTTTCCTAGCCGCAGCGCTGTGACCATCCCTGCCCTGAGGACTCCCACAGTGCTATTCGTTCTATAAATTCTCCAGCAGTTTCCTGGCATCTCCTCGAGGGCCCTGGTCCCTTCCTTGTCTGAGTGACATTTGAGCAGAAAAGAGAGCTCTAGCTTTGTAGCCAGAGCAGCCTAAGCTCCTATCCTGCCTGTGTTCCACTCCGTATGGAGGCCACCCTGGGCTAGCAGCTTTTCCTTCTGCAGCTGGTTCTCTCTGTACTACACTTGGTGTTGAGGCCCGTCTCACAGAGGTGTTGAATTATCTGAGACCACGTGGAAAGGATGCGGGGCCCTGCACGGAAGCCCAGTAAATGCTTCAGAGTTCCTAATGGCAAAGGTGTGTTTTATCCGCTGCAGAGCCTCAACTGTCCCCTCAGTTTGTGTTCAAAGCATACATCTTCCCTGTGAGGCTTCTACCTTAGACCTCTAACTCCTTCCCCACTCTGCATCTGGGATGATGGGATAAAAATCTAACTCATCAGACCTCAGTCATCAAAACACCTCCATTTCTTTCCATTGCTCATGGCCTATGGGTGAAACTCTTGTCACTAGCCTCCTGTCTACCCTGTCACCTCCTCTGCCACAAGAGTTTCCATCACCATCTCCATCTCAGCTGTGCTAATCTATCAATCTTGCCTTTTTTACCCCCACCACAGCACTTTTGCACATGCCATATCTCCGACCAGAACATTCTTCCCTCCTCATCTGACCCAGTTTAACCATACTCATCCACATCCCCACATACATACATGTTCCTAGGTAAGGTTCTCTAGATCTTTCTGACCAGGCTGACTCCCACCTTAGCACTATTCTCTATGGACTAGGAGATGATAGAGTTCATGTCTATCTCCCCCCGAGTAGGTCAGCTATGTGTATCAGCAGGATCTCTGCCTTGTGCTCACCGGGTGAATGGGTGAATTCCTCCCCATCCTCACCCCCCCCCCCGCCACCACCTAGGATATTGTACAGTGCTCGGTCTATAGTCCTGAAAGAGTGTGCGGAAGGTTAGAGGGCAATGTGGGCACTGTGAGTTGGGTCACTGTTTATGGTGGCTCCTCATCAACACTGGGGCTGCAGCCAATGCAGAAGAGGAAGCTTTCCTCTCCACCTGGCCGCCAGTCAGCCAGGGGTCGGATGCAAGAAGATTGATGCTTAGATTCTTCACTTTCTTGTATCTATTAGAGGATTGCACTGGCGTCAGATACTTTTGGTTGGTTGGGTTGTTGGGCTGGGTTGTTTTCATTTCAGACATGTCTCTCTCTGATATTTATGTTCTCACTTCTTAAGAACCATTTGACCCAGAATTCAGAATCACAAGAGTGACATACCTTTGTTCGTATTTTCTACCAAGAGATACACTCGTAGAAGATGATTGACCTCCCTGATTCTCTCACCTGCCAAGAGGGAAACGCTTGACAGTATTTACCCTTACAAAAGTCACTCAACAGATATTTGCTGAGCACCTTTTATAGATCAATAAGATGATCCTAGGATTGATGGTTCCAACGGGGTCAGTTTGAGTAGAAGGTGGCCACTGCCTGGTTAGGGCTCTAAGACAAGAGAAATAAGCCAAGATTTTCTCTTTTTTAATTTTAATTTCATTGTCAAGGTGACATACAGAAGCATTTTCTGAAGTCAACTAAGACAGGATGGACAAGTTTGTTAGCAGTTGGGGTGATAAGAGTTTCTGGTGGTGTGTTTTCCCAAAGTGACCCTAGAAATGAAGACCAGAAATTGAAAGCCATGAGATGAAAGGACATGTGGATCAGTTGAGATTAAAGTTGAACGAAATGTTCTCAAAATTCTCCCATAATTTTCTTTTTCTGACTTTTATACTGGTACTGGGGCTTGAGCTCAGGGCCTGGGCACTGTCCCGTAGCTTTTCTACTCCAGGTTGGCACTCTACCACTTGAGGCACATCTCTACAATGGCTTTTTTTGGTGGTTAATTGGAGATGAGTCTCATGGACTTAGGAAAGCTAGCCTGTTCAGGCTGACATCAACCTCAGGTCTCAGCCTTCTGAGTATCTACAATTATAAGCCTGAGCCACTAGCTCCTGGTTCACAATTGCCTTTAAAAAAAATAGATTTCATGGTTTTTAAAAAAAAAAACTATAAGATAATGCAAGGTGAATAATTTTGAAACACATATTAAAAGAGGATGAATGTAGTAAAAATAGATTGTTTGCATCTTTGAAAATTAAACAAGGAAATCTGTGTACCCTGTTTGGGAAGTGGGGGGAAAGGAAGGAGAGGGGCAATGACAGATGGATGACACTGATGGGAACATATTGTCAACATGTGTGGAAATATATCAATGAAATCTCCCTCTGTACAACTCATGTCGGCTAATAACAATACATAGAACTGTACTGACCAGTCTGGAAACCGATGCCTCCCTCCCCATGGAACTTAGGTTCCCCTGAAATGAGGTCGCCTGGAGGGGTCTCAGGGATTGCCAGTTAGAATGTAGGAAGAATGAAATTCCCCATCCGGGTCAGGTGACAGAGGACAGCTAAGGACCAGAATGTCAGCATCGTGTGATCCCTGCAGCTTCGAGAACCTCTCGTGTGGTTGTGATTTGGCGTGGTGATAAAGATGTGAACTATGTGCACTCTTTTCCTAGGGGATTTGGTTCTGAAGCAGTTTGGCTTTCTTGCATGGCAGGTGCCTGTCCTGAGACCTATGGACCTGATGGTAGAGGCCACTCCTCGGAGAGTATTTGCCAACGCACACACGTATCACATCAACTCCATATCCGTCAACAGCGACTACGAAACCTACATGTCTGCTGATGACCTGAGGATTAACCTATGGAACTTTGAAATAACCAATCAGAGTTTTAGTATCCTTTCCTTGTGGCCAACGGTCAATTGGCCTGAATCAAGAATACACAGGTATGGCTGGGCTCAGGACAGGGTGGGGAGCAGTCACCACAGCACCACCTGGCACTTAGAAGAGCTTGTTTCTTTTAAAATACATTGGCTCCCATGAGCCTCTTTCACCCCAACAATAACGTTAGGAAAGTATTGAACTATAAAGGTTGACTAGCTCTGGGTTAGAAGTCTGAATCAATTCTTTCATGAAGTAGCATTTGTGTGTTATCTGTTAAGATTAAATGTGACTGTGCCAACAATAATACCCTAACATCCAGTTAGGTTCCTTTCTCTACTAAAGATTTATCAAGAGGCTGGGAAGGTGGCTCAGTGATAGAGTGCTTGCCTTGCATGCATGAGGCCCTGGGTTTGATTCCCCAGCACACCACATAAGCATAAAAAGCTGGAAGTGGCGCTGTGGCTCAAGTGGTAGAGTACTAGCCTTGAGCTGAAAAGCTGAGGGACAGAGCCCAGGCCCAGAGTTCAGGCCCCATGACGGACAAAAAAGAAAAAAAGAAAAAGATTTATCAACTGCTGGGATGGACCAAATAGACAACAGTTGGATGAGAGATCCTGTCCCTGGTCCCATAACAATGAAAAGGATAGTGGCCATTTATGGAGTACTGAGCACTTGCATGAGCAACTTGAAGTATTTCTGTGTGTGTGTGTGTGTGTGTGTGTGTGTGTGTGTGTGTGTGTGTCTGTGTCTGTGTCTGTGTCTGTGTCTGTGTGTCTGTGTGTCTGTGTCTGTGTCTGTCTGTCCGTCTGAGACTGGGACTCAAACTTACTCTCTGATGCTTTTGCTCATTGGCTGGTACGCTACCACCTGAGCCACATCTCCAACACTAAAGTATTTCTTTTTACCTCTTCCTTGGAGTATAAAATGTATGCACAACATAAACAGCTCAGTGAAATTTCTTTTCCTTTTTTTTTTTCCGGGTGCCAGTACTGGGGCTTGAATCCAGTGCCTGGGTGCTGTCCCTTAGCTTTTTCACTTAAGGCTAATGATGCTCTACTGCTTGAGCCACAACTCCATTGCCAGCTTTTAGTAGTTAATAGGAGATAAAGGGTCTCACAGACTTTCCTGCCTGGGCTGGTTTTGAACTACAATCCTCAGATCTGAGCCTCCTGAGCTTAGGAAATGTCACAGGTTCCATGCAACTGAAAATTCACATCAAAAAAAGATTCACTGGCAATTTTCAAGCCCCCATACCTCCTTCCTGTTTCTACCTCCTCTGTGGTATATTTGATATGACACCCCTATAATGTAAGCATTATTAGCTCTTTTTTATAGCTCAGAGAAGTTAAGGAACTTGCTGCACGGGTATCTCTGGTGGTGTTTTGCTCCCTTGGTGAATGTCTCCACTCTTCCCCAAACCAGACCCTGTAGTGTAATTCCTCACTCAGTTCCTGGCTCTACCACTCAGGCAGCAGAGCACCTGGCCTACGTGCCAGTGTTATTGTTCTTTTTCATTCACCAGCCCCTCATTCTATCACAACCCAATTTAACCATGAGCCCTGTCAATGTTTTCCTCTAAAACACATCTCAAAGCAACTCAAGTTTCTATCCTGTCTCTGACCAAATTGCATTCGTGTCAGTTAGTGAGCTGTTCCCTGTGTGGCTGCAATCTCTCTGGTCTTCTCTCCTCCACAAAACAAACTCCACATCTCTACCAGAATGGACCTTTCATTAAATCCGTATGACATCCTTTCTCTGCAAAACAGTCTTGGAGAAGCTTCCCATTGCACTTAAAACCCCAGTTATTTACCGTGGTCTAGAAGAGCCCATACCATTTCTATTCCCGGACTCCCTCGTTGGTACCTATCATACCACCCTTCCCTAATTCATTCTACTTCCGCCCAACTAATCACTTTTCTGGTCTTAGTAAGCCATGTCTTCCAAGTCCTTGCTCCTGCTGATCCTTCCTTCTGGAATCCTCTGCCCCCAGCATTCATACAGCTACTACAAACCATTACTCAGGCCTTGGTCCAATGCCATCTCCTTGGATGACTCTCCCTCAACTCCCAAGTAGCCACTCATAGCTGTATTCTTGCTATTTTGTCCAGAGAAGTGGGTTCTTTACGCAATATAGTTTCCCTGAGTAACATTGTAAAGTCTAGGAGAGCAAGACCTTCCCTTGTGCATTCCTGTATTCTGGTGTGTGTCACCTGTGCATATGGAAGGCTGATTGCCTGCGGCAGGTTTTCAGGAGTAGTTATCATCCAGTAGTCAATTGTAATGACATCAAAGCTGCAAATCCGACTTTAAGAGAATAACACTCTCAATGTCCTGATGTCAAACAGATCTCACTAATGCCTCCAATGTATAAAAGATGATTTCTCCTATGTAATCCAATATTGATGACCCCCATAGCTAGTATCACCATGCAATGGGTAACTCAGAGCCTTGGGCCTCTTCCTTCTCACAGCTGTCCCAGGTTCACTTGCTTATCTATATGGGGAGGTTATAAAAGACCTCTCAGGAAAGATTCCATGAGCCAGCCTCTAGAATAGGATTCCACTGGCTAGATGTCAATCATATAACCACCTCTACAGCCACCTCTACCTGCAAGGTAGACTGGGGAAATATATTCTAGCCCTAAGAAGGTATCACAGTGACACCCAGGGTACCCAAAGGTGTTTTAAGCCATGCATCTCTCATCAAGCACTGGCACTTAGGAGATCTATTTAGAGACACCAAGAATTAACCATGAAGACCATGAGCAGCATCTTTTGTTGGTCACAGAGCAGACATGCCACATTGTCTGGACCTGGGAGAACCTGCCTATAGCGCTTTCTGGCACTGCAGCTGCTAATAGAATAAGTGTGGGTGGTGGTTCCCTTTCTTTTTTCCCATCCATTCCAAGAGCCAGAAATCTGCTCAGGCTCAGCCAGCTGTCACTTGGAGCTTCTGCTCTCCCAGTCTAGGTGGCATATTTTTTGAATCTTGCCTCTAGGCCTTCAAAAGGGAGGAAAGTTTCTTAAGCATTTGGGGAGACAGATGCCTTGGGGAGAATGCAAAAGGGGAATATTAAGAGTGCAGTTTAGGTTATATGCTGGAAATGGGTGACAGCCTGCCAGATGCCAGCATACAAATGAGACCCTACCATTCACCCTTAAAGCAGCCGTATGTAAAACAATCATCGTCTTCATGATGGTGATGATAACTGATGTCTATATAGCTCTTTCAACCACACCGCCTTCAGCACCAAAGACAGTACAAACTGGGACCCCTTTGCTTGTTGTCATTGAAGTATAGCCACCTCTGGGGGGGTAGAAGCCAGCCATTTCTCCAGTCAGCCTCAAGAAAAAAAAAATACCGGCTATCTGGTGTGTCTTAAATTATGTGTTATTTAGCAACTGTTTTTGTGATGGCTTTTATCTACCAAAGAAGCAGAAGAAACATGACTCAGGAGAGAACAACGTGAGACCACCCCCCCTCCCCCAGCAAAACATGGTACCTGCACCACTGGGTGATGGACAAGTTTCTTCTAAGCAATATGTGGGCTTTTTACCATAATTAGATATTTATAATAGTGTTGGGAAGTACAACCATCTCAGACCTGTGAACTCAAAGAAAATGAAGTAAATATTGAAATCAACAGGGCATGTGGAAAGTATTATACCAATAGCCAGACACATGGTCTGGAGGTATGGCAAGAAGGAAGCCATGGCTCCCGAACCCTAGCATTTAGTGCACAGCATCAGTGTGGAGAACACAGGCACTGCGGTCCAATCAGCTTACAGTTCTCACCCAGTACTACCACTCTCTGGCTGGGCTAGTTTTTATGTTTCTTAATTTACTCCCTGTGCTATTTCTCCATTTCATCATCTGTAGAAGAGGACTATCGAAGGTGATTGTGGCCAGGCATCAGTGGCTCACACCTGTAATCCTAGCTACTCAGAAGCTGAGATCTGAGGATCACAGTTCAAAGCCAGCCCAGCCAGGAAAGTTTGTGAGAGTCTTATCTCCACTTAACCACAAGAAAACTGAAGTGGCACTGTGGCTCAAAGTGGTAGAGCATTAGCCTTGAGCTAAAAGAGCTCAGGGATAGCACCCAGACCCTGAGTTCAAGGCTTCATTTCTGGCTTTTTGTTGGTTAATTGGAGATAAGAGTCTCACAGATTTGTCTGCCTTGGCTGACTTTGAAACAAGATCTTCAGATCTCAGCCTTCTGAGTAGCTAGGATTACAGGCGTGAGCCACCAGCAACCAGCTGTATTGAACTGGCAATTTTTATGGTAGCATTTTGAGCAGTTTAGCCTATGTGTGTAGCAAAGTCTGACACTGTAACTTTTAGGTGCTCTCCCAATCATGCCCAGGGTTTCAAACCAGTTCTGTGTTTCACATGGCATCAAGGGGCTCTATGCCTATCCCTCAGATTGAGCATAGCAGTTGGCAAATATTCCATGGGTATTTATACGTTGGATTTGGTGAAGCTCTTCAGAAATGAATGCTCCTTGGAGTCCTTTTTTCAAGACCTCCCCTATCCTTTCAGCTGACAAAACGTGGGTGCTTAATGCCCAAAGATTAAAATTAGACATTGAGAGAGAAAAAAAAAATCTCAAAATAATTCCTGTCCCCCAAAAGGGAATGCAGTCCTAATGCTTAGCATTCAAGGCCAAGCTAGCGTGATTTTCTACCCTCACAACTGGCAGGCTGACCGCGGGATATGAGAAGCCTCAGCTAGCTTTGAACTGGAGTGGCAGTGCTCTGGGTTCCACTGTGCAACTTGGCCAGTCTACCATTCAGCCTGCAGAAAGGGATTCTCCTTGTCCTCCCTTCCTTGACTAACTTATGACGGCTTGAAGCAGGGCCAGCTTGCACAGTCAGCACCATCAGTAGCAAAAAACACCGCCAGTAAGGATGTTCAAGACCCATACCACCAATGCATATAAGAGACCTGGGGGCTTATATCACAAAACAGGATGCAAAAAGAAAATTTATTTCACACAGGATTTTTTTCTCA